ACCGCTATCATAACTAGTGCCCTCTAATCACTTCTCAATTGGTAGTCCTACTGATTAGATATGTTTTAATTAACCTATCCACTCGTTTTTACTTTTACGAATTTCTCTTTCAGTTAATTTGGTATTTTACATTTTCGTTCTGTTTCTGGGAGAGTTACGACTTATTTTATCTTCTCTCCTCTTTCAATTTCAGGAGTTATGCACTTGCAGTTTTGGGTGGTCACAATTACAACTGCTCTTCCTGTGGCAGCAAATTTCCTGACCACGTCTAACAGGTCAACCCCATGATTTTCAGCCCATGAAGTGATGGCTCTGGTCCGTCAGGAGTTGACCATTTTCATGCTACCATCATAACACACTGATGATCATCCTAACAAGATTTTCAGTGATCTTTTAGTTTTGGATTTGGACAGCCTCCCCTTCCTGAATATGAATCTTAGTCGTGTGTTGTTTAGGGGGACTTGCCCAGGCCTTTTTACCCCTTTGGTGGATTTGATATTTAGGTATATTATGTTCTGTACTTATATCCTGTTTCCTATGTTCCACCCCTGCCCATCAAGAATGTTCTAATACCACTTCCTTCTTTATCAGGTCAGGACTGGATGCTGGTTTCCAGTGGATCTGGTGGTGGTTATAGCTGGACAAGATACATGACTTCCCTCTTGTGTAAGGGTGGGTACCCTTCTCCTACTATGGACTAAGCGACCAAATTCCCAATGCCACCGGGTTTTGGACTAGAGATAAACACCCACCTGGGCTCTCCTCCTTTCTACTATCTGCCAGATGTTGGTTGTGTTGGAGATGCACACACAAGGAAACGGGTTCTTGGTATGGGAGCTCCTCTTCTCTGCCTATACCTATTTTTGAGGTGAAAGGTAGAGGACTCTCTTCCTTCTGCGATCCTGATGTACAATTCCAGATGCTGTCAGGTGTTGGTTGAGGTTGAACTCCCATTTACGGTCTGTCATTCCCTAGCCACTCTGCATCAAGGGGGTCCCATTTTTTCTGTGTTTATTTTTGGGACCCTCCAAGTTCCCACCCTTTACATTTTGGCGACACATTAATGAAGGGCAAAGAGTATACCTGGTTCAGAAATGGTGTGGTCTCCCACTGGTGTGTTGTTTATAATCCCTTATCACACCTCATGGTTTTCCTTTGGGCACTTCCTAAAGGGGGATCCTCTTCTCATCGGCCCTCCACCAGTTCAATGTGAAATTCTAGCTTTTTACGAGAAGAGGTAAGATATCGTATCAGAAGTTAACATTTTCTTAAATTGGAAATACATTTTCAGTTTAAGAAAATTTTAACTTTTGAACAGTATTTTTTGCTAGAAAGTCATGTTTTACAACAGCATGTACCCTAAAAAAATCCCACGCTTTTTGATCTATGGATGATTTTATCTATATAGATGCATGTAGGCTTCAACAGTTAATGATATTTGTCAGTCTATTAATGTATGACCCCATCATATGATTAGTGCAGTCTTCTTCAAACATACAAGACAAAAACAAAAGAAATGGTTGGTAGGAGGTTGCTGCAATACTGTTTCCTTCCCTCTAGCCAGTAGCTCAAAGAGAAAAGAGAAAAAACAAGAAACAGGTTTGTGGTGCATGCTGCCAGAAACTTGCCTTCACTCTATTCAGCAGTTCAAAAAGAAAAGGAAAAAAAAAGATTGCTGATTAATGCTATTAGCCTGTTGACTTCTGTGTAGTCAGCAATTAAAAATTAATGACAGTGGCAGGTGGCCTTTGTAACTTTGCCATAACAGACGTGGCAAGCAAGTTTGATGGCAATATTTCAATTACATATGTAGTCAGAATAATTCAAAATAGTAATGATTAGAAACCTTAATTTTGATTGGTTAATTATTTTTAGGACACTCAATTAGCTGATTTTTGCAGTAATCAGAAGTACTAATTTTAATTGATCATTTTTGTGACAGTTGATTTAATTGAAATTTTGAATAATCAGTTGTTGGAATAATCAGAAACAGTCATAATTGGAAAGAGTAATTTTGAGTAATTGATTTAATTGGAAATTCAATTAATCATTTAGTTTATATGACACTGATCAGTGCAATTGCTTCTCATAAGTAATTGTTAAAATTACCCAGTTGTGTCAACAATGCAGCAACAATAATATATATAGTGTATGAAGTATCAATCATGATGTCATACCTATAGTACATTTCAAAAAATAGGCTTTCGTACATTTATATATACTCACTATTTCTCCAGTTTTTTTTCTTTTTCAACTATAAAACATTTCTGTACTTTTGAATCATTTTCTTGTGCAAAGTCAGTACAGTAATACCCCATTTAGTGCTCAGGAAGAGTTACTGAGAACTGAGCTCTAAACAGAGTTATTTTAACATTACATATATGGAGATATGTAACTGAAGGCATTGTTTCTTACCTGTCAATGATGTATAAGTGCTTTATTTAGGTACTGGTAAATTTAATGTAAATTACTCACTATAATATCATCATTGTGGGAAAAAAAGCAAATTTTTATTAGCCTTCAATCTTGTTTGGTTACAGTGTCAACAAATAGAAAATCAGACCTCTCCTGCCATGCCTGTGTGTCACATCCTTTCTTTCAGGATTTGTCAATACATGTAGTTATCTCTTACGTTTGCAATTATATTAGTTATAATCAATAAACAAGCAAAGTTTTCATCTATCAAATGACGTATTATATTAACTTTTTTTCTATATAGAGATTTGTAGATCACTTCCTGTGAAAATGCCAGAAAAATTGTGATAGTTATGTGACATTGTCTGCTTTTTGCATGTTATTATTCTATGTTCTTTGTTGCATTATTTTATTAAATAAAAATTATCTAGTATACTACTGCCATTAGTATGAAAAAGTAGTGTTCACAGAGTTATGGATTTTCATAATTATGTTTCTCTCATGAAAAAAATAAAATTTCTCAAGGAGTCAAGAACTATATAAAAAATCAGCTTAAAGTGGGGTCTTACTGTATTGGACTCTGGTAAAGTTAGATGAGAATGTTAACAAATACTTTAAATATTTTGGTTTTCCTTAAAGTTCATGATCAATTCTACCAGAAGATAATTATTTTGCCTCATTTGACCATATAAGTGTTTTGTTTGGGATACCTAGTAAGCTTGAAAACCTAGATTTTTCTTCCTTTGGCTTATGAACCTTTTGTAAATTGTTAGATGGAAGAACTTTCATGTTTCTTGTATATTTTCAGCTCCTGACACTGACTGTTACAATCATTCTACCTGTCTATTTATTGTATAACTTACAATTTTGAAAGGAATGCTACTTCTAAATTCTTTTGATTAATTCTATTCCTCAGATTAGCAATTACCAAGTTGTCCCAAGTTTGCAGTTGTTCCTTATCATTAGCTTGACTCATTGTAATAAAATTTTTACTTGTAAGAGATGTGTTAAGTTTTAAGATATGTTGTGCATTATATAGCTGGGTGAGTACCTCAATTAATCAATATAATAACCTGTCTTTGAGCATTAATTACAACAGTTAAAAGAAATTATGATTAAATCAATTAATGTCATGAGGATAATCAACTAATCTAAATTAGTGTTTCCATTTATTACTGTTTTCGATCATTCCAAGTATGTTAATTGAAATATTGGCATTATGATTTTTCATTATTATTTTAATTTAGTTAACTTTTGTTTAGTTAAATCGATCAGTGTCACAAGATTCATTAAAGTAATAAACTAGTTGGAATTAAGAGTTTCTGATTATTACTTTTTTGGATTATTCCAAATATCCAAGTAATCAGAATATTGTCATTATGTTTGTTTGCTGTTAAGCACAAAGCTACACAATGGACTATCTGTGCTGTGCCTACTGTAGGTATTGAAATCCAATTTTTAATGTTATAAATATTCTAATTGCCCAGCTCTATTGTGTAATACTTGACACATGTTTAATATTTCCCAGGATTATTCTCTGTTATAGAGCCAATATATTCCTCCACACAAGTAGGACATATAAATTTATAAATAACAAATTACCTCTTATTTTTGGGTATTACATTCTTAAGTTGAAAAGTTTTTTTTATTCTAACAGTAGACCTAAAAATATATTCAATTTCAATCTGTGAATATACTATCTGATATTTAATACTAACTTTTGTTATGTAATATTAGAAATATTGTCCTAAATAGGGTAATACTGTTATTACTGGTTTCTTTGACACATCAAACTTTAGTACATCAGAGATATTCAGATATTTATCATTTCATTTATATTTCCTTCATTAAAAGGGTTATGAAACTCATTGTGTTTCAGAAAGTTTTGGATAAAGTTTACTTCATTATGAAAGTAAGAATAATTGCTTACAATCCTGTAAGCATGATTAATAAGCATCTTAACTAAACTTACATTAAATACCTTAGAAACAAAACTACTAAAATATACATAATGTAACAATTTATAATAAAATTGATAGTATTGGTGTGTTTTTAAACTTGCACCTGTTATGGCTAATTAGTATGTCCTTCCCATGCAGATGAATACATAGGCTCTACTACAACTGGCTCTAAAACTGAATAAAAGAACATATTTCTGAGAGCATTTAGAACCCATCAGTATTGTATGACAAAATACGACAGAATGTCACACACCTATCACCAGTCAGAATTTTACTGTAATGAGTTGTGCTAATGATAAGGAGAAATTACAAAGCTTGGAGAGTGATAGTTGCTAATCTGATGTCTAGAATTAATCAACAGAATTTGAAAGTATCACTTCTTTTGAAATTGTAAGTTAAAAAAATGAATATATATATTTTAAAGCATTGTACCTGTCAAAACAAGGAAGGAACCAATTTACAGTGTGGTCTTCCATATCAGTACAACCTTTTATGTTGTTTAAATGCTTACCACATATACTGGAAGCTCTGAATGTCAAGAAAAATTTATAAATGACATAAATAAATGTTATTAATTTTATTCTAAGTAACTGTATTTCCGTATATTTTCTTTTTTCCATTCAGGGACTACTTGGAATGTTGAAATGGTAAAAAGATCTGGAGAAATTAATACTTCAAAGACTGGAGACTGAATCATCATTCATGTGTAATGTGCATTGATATCAACCAGACCATGTTGAATCATGTATCTAGTATGCATTATTGATATAAAATGGAGTTGTGTACACCTGATAGAGAGATGACTGTCTCAGACTGGGAACTTGTAAGAATTGGAAAATATCAAAAACATATGGTTCTCCCTCTTTATGGAAGTGGTTACAGCAACATTGTTGGTCGAGGAACACTTGTCAAGGATTCACAAAGAATTGTGTCATCACTTGTTTCACGGCAGCATGCCACTTTGCATGTTAAAGATGAAGATGGATGCTACATTACAGATTTGAAGAGTTTGAATGGAATATATATCAATGGTAAACGTATAAAACCAGATTTTCAACATATTTTGCACAATGGTGATGCAATTGGAATTGGTGTTCCAAATGGCCTTAAAGAGGATCATTTTGAATTCATGTTGTTAAGAAAATCATTATCTCCTTTTCATGAAAAAAATAAAATAAATGAAAAGTGCCAGGATATTCTACTGTTTAGTAATACTTCATACAACAATGAAATATCAAAGGAAAATACAGAATCAAATTTTATGGTCACAACTCAAAATGTAAATGTTGGAGTGAGCCATTCTGATATCAGCCAAGATAAAAGGCATTCTTCTATAGATATTGATCAGAATACTTGCAATAAGTCTCCAGCACCACTACAAGTACATTCATGGTTAAACATCAGTGGAGGTGTTGGCAAAATCAAACAAGAAAATGACATTTGTGATAACCAAGGAACAAATAAAAGAATTAATCACACATACACTTGTGGAAGAACTGAAAGACCAATAAGTATAGCTACTTTTCAAAACAATCCTCAATGTACTGGTGACTCCAAAGAAAAAGCTGGAATTTGTGGTAAGCAAAAGATTAGTAACTGTAATGCTCATGCAGATACCAACAATCAACTTCAAGAATTTTCACAGGTAGATCCTTTGGTAAATAGTTTTAAAAGTGGACATAATAGTGAGCAAAAACAGGAAACATCTGAAAAGCCAGTGATTGATGCAGAAATTAATCAATTAGAAAGTTGTACTATGAGAACAGCATGTGCATTATCACCTTGTAAGGTTCTTTTAAAGAAATGGAACTCTAAAGAGTACCTTAGTATGACAATTGATGAAAGAGAAACATTTAGTAACCTTGACAATACTTTAAACCAAAGTAGTGCATCACCAGATAATGAAGTCAGTATTTTAAGAACAAGAAGAAAAAATGTGAGACCTGTGACAAGTGACAGTTTACCATCAAAATCAACTCTGCCACATCCTGTTTTCTATCAAAAAGCAGATTTTAAAAGGGATAATTGGCAGATACCAAGGTCATCGCATTGTGGAAGTACCAATTGTGTCCAGATTTTAGATGTAGAACAGAAGACCGTTATTACAGAGAAGAAAAATTCTCCTATTGCTGAAACCAAAGTTGAGAATATTACTGCAAAGAAGGAATATTTTCATGTTGATGAAATCAAGGTTGAAAATATTAGTACAGAGAAGGAAAGTTCTCCTATTGATAAAATCAAAGTTGAGAACAGACTAGACAGTTTTAAACCAAGATTTTTTGTTAGTTCTGTGCAAAATGAGAAAAGTATTTTTGAGGATACTAAAGAAAAAAGAACTGTAATTAAACAGGAAAAAAATATAAAGAAATGTGAAGATAGAACTGCATTTGTTCAATTAGAAGACTTCTCAGGGACTATAGAGAAATACTTGCATGAGGATAAAATACGTGTAGATTTACATGAACATGCTTGTACAAGAGGACCGGATGAAAATAATGCTATTGATATTAGTACTGTTGAAAGTAAAAATCCTGTGTCAAAACAAAAGGAAGAAGTTCTAAGTGAAGAAGAAGGAGTTTCTTGTATAAAAATAGAACCTGGAGATGTTTATTCTCAGCAGGATGAAGTTATTTTGATATCTGATGATGAAGAATACTGTGCTTCTCAATCAAGTTCATATCTTCCTAGCAAAGAATTAGAATCCCTCAAGTGCGACTCTCTTTCAGAAGACAGTGATGATGAAATTATTGTACTTCAAGATAAAAGCTTTGAAATTCTTGATGAATTTTTGCCTTGTAATGATCAAGAGAATAAAAATTTTGAGGAAGAGGAAAAGGAGACCAAAGATGTAAACATACTTGGTTCTTCTGATGGTGTAGCTTTAATGGAAAATAAAGACGTTTTTCAGAAAGTTACCCAGGATTCTGAGTTTGGAAGTAATGTAGCATTAGAAACTGTTGATGATATGCCTTTACAAAATGTTGAAAAAAAAATAATGGAAATTGAGGAACAGCTGAGGAAACGTTTAAAATGGGAAAGAGAAGAGAAAAATGAAAATAGTCAAACAAAAATAGATGAAAGCAAGCTTAATACTCTGGAAGTTGAACATTTTTCTGATAAAAATCAGAAGACAAAATCAGTAGCATCAGGAGGTAAAATAGATGGTGTTAATAATAAGGTTAAAGATAATGAAGCCAATGAAGAAAATTCTGAAAATCATGTTATGGATAATTGGGAAGATTTTTTCCCTGAACTTTCTCAGGCATTTTACTCTGAGGATGTAGAATCAAATGAAAGTAATAAAGATATACCTGAACTATCAACGTATACAAGTTCCTCACTTCCCAATACAGAATCAGGCTTTTCAACAAACAAGCCTTTAGTGTGTGTTGAACCAATGCCTAGGAATTTTGATCAACGGTTGGAAGATTTTCGTCAAAGGCAAAATCAGAAAAGAAATAACCAAACTAAATTAACTGAACCCCTTCCTATGCACTGTAAATTAGAAAGAAGTCGTGGCAGAGAAACACAGTTAAGAGAACCACAGAATACATTTAATTCACAAAAAAGAGGAATTTCGAAATATACATTTTTCAATAAAGATCAAGTAAAAAATCAAAGAAAAGTAATCCCAACTGCATTTATTACTAACTCAGTTAAGAGGCCAGAGAATACTTTCTATCCTGCCAACAGGAAAAAAATAGAAGCTTTGAAGAGGAAAAATGAAACAAAATCATCTAGACAAAAAATTATGGAACAGATGAATTATCGTATTCGTATGCCAGGTGGAGGGTCTGCTGTTAAAAAAAAAAAAGAAGACACCGGAGCACACAAACAAAGATCGACAAGAACACCTAGAAAATGGTCAGAAATGGATAAAAAGACTAATTCATTTTTGCATTGTGCAACCCAGAAAACTGGTAACATGATAGTCAAAAAGATTGATAATAGATATGCAAAAAAAATTGACAAAGAATCTGAGAGGTTTCGTTCACGTTCAGCTTTTTTGACAGAACATGCATCCAACCAAAACAAACAAGTTAATGAATCTGCTGTATCTTATCCTACAGATGCTGCTCTAAGAAAGCGAAAACAATCATCTTCTGATTACCTAGATAATTTCAAAATTCCTAGATTGTCAAAAAGTTTTTCTGTTGAATGTTCAGTGGAAGAAAATAACAAATTAACTACAGAAACAAATGGAATAAAGTCATGTGTTAACAAGGATATTACTTGTAAAGTTAAATCAGTTAATGAACCAAAGAAAAGGATTTCCCATTTAAATAAACAAAATTATTGTTTGTCAGAAACTCCAGAACATTTGAAATCAATGCTTGCACACGAAGCTCAAGTAATTAAACAGCTGAAATCACAAACTAATTGCCAAAAAAATACAAGTCACAAAAAACAAAAGGTACGATTTGCAGATGCAGAAGGAAAAGAGTTAGTAGAAAATTATTTTGAAGATAGATACAAACTATCTTACAGCATTCCAACTACATCAAAAGCAGAACAACAGTACCAAACATTTCCTTCAACAACTATTGTAAACACACATCCTACTGTGAGTCTAAATGCTGATAAAGCTCTGTTGACCATGCTGAAATGGTTTTCGAGATGGCTTAAGGAACAAGAGCAGAAAAATCACCCGCCAACCATGAAAGATATGAAGGTTTGTGAATTAGATGGATATCCACAAGAAACACGTGCTTGTTATAAAAGTATTGATGAATATTTTAAGATTAATTTCTCACTCTTATTGTATGAAGCATGGGAGCAGGCTTATCAGTCCTGGAGAGAAGGTACTGCTAAGAATAGTCTTATTACACATTTAGTAGAAGTACTTTCATATCAACATGAAGAAAAATTTCTTAGAATCACATGTGTGACAGTGATTAATACTGAGTTAATAAAGAAAGATCTCATACCAGTAGAAGGTCATTTTGTTTTATTTGATCTGAGAAGTACTAGTGGTCAGTTAACTCAAGTATTTGGGTATGTTGTAGGGCGTGAAATACAGCCACGTAATCCACAAATGCAGAAAAAAATAAGAACAATTTTAAATGTTGATGATACTAATCTTTCTAATAAGGACAGGCATTCATTGGTATTTACGTTAAGAACAAAGTACATGGCTGAAAGTATTGATCAAAGAAAGTTGTCAAAAGTTCAGATTTTGTGTTATATGAGACCACTGCTGAGACAGTTTGAGGCATTATCAAATGTATCTAGATCCTTGCTTGTGAGAGACATTTTGGAGCCACGAACAACTACTTGTGAACTGATTGCTCCAAGGCATACATCCTCTGTTTGTGGTAGCTTTAATGAAACACAAACAAAAGTGATAATTTCTATAACAGAACGTGTTTTTTGTCCTTATCCCATACCCCTCATAGCTCTCTTGCAAGGACCACCCGGAACAGGAAAAACTTATTTGATAGTTGGTTTAATTCAAAATCTTCTTCACAGGAGTTCAAGTTTAAAAGTCGAAACATCATCAAAAATACTTGTTGTAGCTCCTTCAAATGCAGCTGTGGATGAAATAGGTAGAAGACTTATCAAACTAAAAGAGAGAGAGAAATTAAAGGGGAAAAAAGTTAAGTTTGTTAGAATTGGTCAGCCATCACATATTCATCCAGAGGTACATATGTATCATATTGAAAACCTTGTCAACATGAACATTAATAGAAAAATTTCTGAAGAAAAAAAAAAACTGGAAGGTAAAATAAGAAGGCTTAAAGCTACATCTGAAGAACTGGCTACAGATATTCAGAAAAGAAAAAAAGATGGATGTCCACAAATTGTTGTTCAAAAATATGAGGTTGAATATACCAAACATTTGAAACAACTTCAGGTATTGGAGAACAAAGTGAAGGAATTAAACACTAGAAAATATGTTTCAGAGAAGCACAAAGAAAGTGCATATAGAAAAGAAATTCTTCAGAATGCAGATATTATATTAAGCACTTTGAGTAGTTGTCGGATGAATGCATTGGAAGTAGCATATGGGAGAGAAAGTAATGTTCACTTTACTTGCTGCATTGTGGATGAAGCATGTCAGTGCTCAGAACCAGAAGTGTTAATTCCTCTTCAGTATGGAATTACCAAATTAGTTCTTGTTGGAGATCCTCAACAATTACCAGCTACAGTGATCTCTAAACGTGCCTACCAGTACAAATTTCAAACCTCTTTGTTTGAAAGGTTTTATTGCTATTTTCAAACACAATGTGTAAATCCAGTCTGCATGTTGACAGAACAATATCGAATGCACTCTCAAATATGCATGTTTCCTTCAAAACATTTCTACCAGAATAGACTAAAGACACCACCATTTGTTGACAAGCTATCTTTATCTTTCCCATTAATTCCCTATTCTCTCATTAACATTCTAGAGAGCAAGGAAACTTCAAATCAAGGAGGTAACATATCTAACTTACCAGAAGCTAATTTTATAATGGATTTGTGTACAAACTTGCTGCTATTAGTTCCGGAAGGAACAACTTGTGGTATTATTACACCATACCAAAGTCAGAGAGTCCTGTTCCAGCATCTTTTGAGAACAAACAGAGAGATTAAAAAGCTAAATACTTACATTGAAGTAAACACTGTTGATGGATTTCAAGGAAGGGAAAAAGATATTATTATCTTATCCTGTGTAAGAGCCCATAATAATACTGGTACTATTGGCTTTGTTGCAAACCATCAGAGACTTAATGTTGCCTGTACTCGAGCTAAAAAAACCTTAATTATTTGTGGCCATCTTATTTCTTTTGAGACACATAAACATTGGCAGGAACTGATAGAAAATGGAAAAGAAAGGGAACTGCTTATAGAAGTTAACCTTTCAACAGATATAACCAGTGTAGTAAACAAACTTATTAAGCAGTTAGTATAATTTTTCTGACAACCAAAAGTCAATATTTGACATCATGTTTTATTACGTGGCAATTATACCACTGCGTGACAGTCTGTAAATGGTGAGATATAAAAGACATGGATGTGTGTATGTCAATATTTCTTCGGTGAAGAGTAACTTACATGCATTTGCTACACAGACGTTGAATATGTAAAGATGTTATTCATAGCAAATCTTATATCTTTTGATTATTTTGAGTGCTTATAAATAAAACTGCCATGATTATAAAAATGGAATTTTTTTTTCAATTCATTAGTCAGAATGTACATATGTAGGATGTTATAATTTTGTACTTACATGCACAAAAGCATTGAAATTAAAAGTTTGTTGTTTTCATAATGTTATGTACAGACTAGAAATGAAGTCAGTTTGGAAGTTTGTATATCTAAGAACATAATAATATCTTCTGTTCATTAAATTTGATTAAGTTTACAAATCAGGATTGATATTTTTGTTCATGATCAACTTGTTTATATTTAAACTTAGTTTTGTAGTTGTAGTATATTGTATTTGTTCTTAGACCTTAAGGTTAATTTAAAGATTAATCAACTTAAATCATTTGGAAAATTAGGTAGTTTCAATAGAAAGGTGTGTAGCTTCATAAATATCTAAGTATATATTACAGTTTGAAAAATTTTGAAGTTTATTATAACTGATGAAGAAATTCAATATATTGAGCATTTTGCAATAGGAAACGTTTAACGATTTTCATTGTTCTACTCCACTTGAAATTTAATGTTACTGCATTATAGTGTATCAAATTAAATGAGTTCTTTACACATTTTAAGTGATACAAAACTTAAGTTTCCAAAGTTGTCAAAAGTATTTACAACATCATGTTTGAAGAAATGGGAAAAGCTGAGAAATACTGGTACAAGTTGTAATTTCTTTTTATGTTGAAGTTTTTGTCAGTGTTTTGTAATATGTGTTTTTATTAAGTAGTTTTTTAAGTAATAAGATGCATAACATTTGGAAAGTACATAGTATTGTACTCTGTGTTTTTCTCTTGCTAAATATTTTTACAATAATGAGAGAAGTCTGTATAGAAAAATGAAAATCACATGAATGAAAGATGTTTCATTTAGCCATTATTGTGATAAGTCAAAGAGATAAGTATCCGTTATAATAAAAACCTTGGCTTACCTTAAGCCAAGCTTGTATTTTTTATTTTGAAAGAAAAATGCATTACTATCAGTGTATTTTATTAATATTTATAAATGAGAAATGGTTGCCCAATCACAATTAATAATTAAACGTACTTTCTTCAAACTGCGATATTTGTAATGATATAGATACTATGAAATAGATAACAATAACGACACCTGTTCAAGTTATAAGCAAATGTTTCAAATGTTATAAACATTGTACAGGATATGACATTAACCTATTCTACAATTTGGGGACATATAGAACTTTAGCATTGCTCCTTTTATTTTCTAATTATTTGCAACACTATGAACTGCTATAACAGATTTTTAATAATGCTATTTTTCCAGTCAGGATTGCAAGGTAAATACAAAAAATTAAGGAAATGGCTACAAGGTACTTCTGTCAAATTTTAAAACTATTTGTGTGCCTATTGTTACCATAATGATATTGGTTTGAACTCTTTATAGTTCACTTGTACAGAGGAAGATAAATTGGTATGGAGATGATTGAAGTGAATGAGATGAGTGTAAAAAAAAGAAAACAATCGCAGCGCATGATACGTAGAATTCCTCATTGTCATTGGGACCTATCCATTACAGCTTCCATAATCCAAGAGCCAATCTAAAAGATCCTTCCTTCCATCTTCTGTTTTAAGGCTAATATATAATAAGAAATGAACGAAGCAGCATTGTGGTTATGTGCTTGGACTGTGAATATAAGGGTTGATGGCTTGTTCCTGCAAAAATGTGGGGGGAAGCGGGTACAATATGAAAATGACGGTCAATTCCCATTATATGGTCAGACAAGAGTTGACTGTGGGTGCTGTTGACTAGCTACTTTTTCTCTTGTCTATTTGCTATGAGTCACGGTGGCTATGCACAAGTAGCCTTTTGTATAGCTTTGCACGAAATTTCTGAAACGAACTTATTAACAGTAGTGAAGTTAAAAAAAATCACAAAAAGATGAACTTAGTATCGTCAAATGGTCATCCAGAAGGATGTGTGTATAACATTGGCAGGTAGACTACAAACTAACTTCAATACTAATTATAAATCTTCCTTTATTTCAAATGTACTTGCTGCTTTCACCTTAGATATATCCCCTGGCGGGTCAGCAGTATATTTACGGGCTTACAGCGCTAAAATCCAGATTGGTAAGATCCTGTGATACAAAGCATATTTAAATGACGCCATGAAAACGTTCTTGGCTTGCACTGAAATATCACGAATTCCCCAACGAGGGCAGTAGAGTGATAGTAAGATTGTTTCTTCGTTACTGTAACCTCATTAGTATATTGTCTTTTGTTTCAATTTGAATAAAAACAAGCTCACAATAGTTTTAACGCATTAGTCATTGAATTCTATTGCTGCTACGAAGCAAACGATGGTAGTTCGATTTTGTATTTTCACATTTGGTTAGAGATGTTAATTCAGAAGTATCATTCTCAGCATTTGGAGGTATGTTGTTAAGAGAATTATAAAATATATATGTAATTAGACCTATAGTTTTTTTACACTGGTATTGCGAGTTTGAGTAACATCTGGACGTATCATTTGGATCTATTAGTGTTACTACTACACTTTTGATTCTCATAGAAATGTATAAAACAAATCTAAGTGTCTTTACTAATTACTCATGGATTAACAAAGGTTGCTAAGATGGGCCAAATCCGGATACTTTTTCGATATCTTTAACGGACAGAATATCTTACCTGAAGTTATCGGTTTGGGGACACTTCCCTGGCCGTAGAAAGCGCTGTTCTGATGGATTAGCTGGTCTCTGGAAGATGAAGTGTCTAACTATTTGTATATTAAAATCCTAAGTTGCGGACATCGTCTGTTGTATTCTTGCCTCTTTTAGAATTGCGGACTGGTAAAAAAAACAGTTACAGAGATAAACACGACACTACTCCAGGGGTTAGAATGAGGCGGAATGCGTGCCGCATTTTGAAGATACAAGACATTAGCGTTCCTGGTTTTTTTTACTATACCCGCTACTACAAAATGGATCACAAAGAGAGCTTTGCCTTTTTCAAAACCCCAATTTATTCTCTGTATTGCCAAATGTTTCGACGGTTATAATTTTGAAGGGCCTACGAACAATGTCTAGAGCTTTGAAATAATGTAAGCACAAAGAGTGAGCCAAAGATGGCTCGCTGGAAATATTTTTGTAGAGGTAACTAGTGGTTTTTAAATGTGTAGGAGAGGCTTCCATCCAGTATCACGATTCATTAAATTTCCGTGGTTATTGGCGATAACCCAACCTTCGAGAAATATTCGTCTAGTAAAGTTGGTAGAACTGTACATAATTTTAGTCTTGTTCCCATTAATGTTATGGTTAGTTAAAGATATATTCACAATCACAGAATCCAAAGTGTTTTCCTTTTTAACCTCTTCTTTGTGTTCATTAATGCATGTTTTTATCTAGGATATACACAATAATATACACATATTTGATTAATAATGGAGTTTAGTACAATACGATAAAAATCACTTATTGAAAATTGAAAATTTGTTTATGAGAAAATGAACACATTTTGTATATTTTTGTATCTGATAAAATATAAGCTACATGAAATTAGAGTATCTTTTTCTCTTAGCACGTGTAGAAGGACTTCTCTTTCTCGTGGCTTCATAATACAGCATTAATCAGAAGTGATAATATAAAAACAAAGGTTATGAAAGAAATATTTCAAATTCGAACGTTCATAAGAAAAAAAAAGGTGATATTTGGACATTAACAATGCAGAGAAATGGAATGGAATCATTGTCTACAAAACCAACAGATTTCCCGGGTGGAGGGGTTGTATGATGCCGGTTTCTTCTCTTTCAAAGTTGCCGAGGCTCTAGAAATATTGTTTATTAAAAACAGACCCAAAACTGTTAATTTACTATTCGATGTAGCTAGAATACGTAAAAAAAACCAACTCAAAATCTTATGTTTCATATAAAATTGCATCATTAATTTACTGTTTGTTGCTTTCAAAGTATACCAAAAATATTTATGATTTATATAAAATCCGTTTTCTACCACAACATTTGAAATGATTAGGAGAACAAACTTAAGTCAACGAAGAAAGAATTACTGATTTGGGACAACGTTTAAGCATAAAATCAAACATTGAAGCCAAAAGATAAACATTCTTACATTTGATAAACGACTGATTCATGTATCCCAAGACTTATCAACTGCAAATAAGGAGTATATGCCATGATTTGTATCAGACCCTCGTGATTAACCGAAAAAAAAAATCGATGATCTGCTTATACGATATAAAAAGGAAAAAGTTATGTTTTATTTAATTTCTGTAGGGCATATTGGTGTATAGAAGATATATTAACACCAAAATGTTGTTTTTATTTAATTAGACATTCAACGTTTCGCTTTACAGCTTCTTTGTGTGTTAGTGTTATAAGGTCGTTTATTTCTAGTAATAAGTTACGTTTTAGCATAAGGATGATGTGAAAAAAAACCACACTAGCGTAATTGGGTACACGATAAAACAAAAATTTGGCAAATAAAAACTTCGCTTCTTGCACCTGGTGATATCTGTGTCTTTCGTTTGCTTCTAACTGTGCCCGCGTATCGAAACCCAATTTTATAAACCCTCAGATTTGTCCCTTATTCAAATTCATTTGCACTGTATGTGGACTATTTAATGTTAATTAAAATTAATGTTGATTTTATTGCTGATTTTTATATATTTTTTATTGTATTCATTATTAACTTCATCTAAAAATTGTTAAGATTTATTATATTGTTCTACTGATTTTCTCTAGCAATAAACAAGTGTCAATCGCTAATAATTATTTGTATATATTCATGGAGTGCACTTAATTAATTAAGCTAGAGGTCTAATCTCTCTTCTTGGTTTTCAATGCTGCTCTTAGTTCCTATGCACCCACTGGCACGGTGGTAAGTCTGAAGATTTATTAAGTTAAAAACCGGGTTTCGATACCCCGCGGAGGGCACAGCACATATATAACCCATTGTGTAGCTTTGTGCTTAACTACTAACAAATTTAGTTTCTGACTCAAACAACGAATGGACACAAGTGGCTCTGGATATTAGAGATGATGATCCGGTTTGGATCCATATGATACCTTAAATTTTTCCTCTCACTTTTAGTTGTGGATGCATTATAAGAGATATTTAATCCTTAAGCGTAAGTAGTGGGTGGATAAGTGCTGTTGACTGGCCAGTAGTTCAATATTAGATTTCCATTAAATACAAATAGACGTACATTTTGAGGTTCTATTATTGTGATTTTTTAAATATATATATATGAGATATCCTCGGTTATTACATTTAAGATCAAACAAAAGACTCGGTTTGTTTTTACAGATGATATTTTTAAATCAATAAGTTGACATCTTCACACTCACTCACTCAAAATTTATTTTGGCTTATTTGTATTTCCAGCAACACAAATAGAACTAAATCCTGAAAAGAAACAATTACCTGCATGACAGGATATGGTAAACAGCAAATGATAGCATTATTGTTTTCTGGTTATATCTTATGCGATTGGATTATAAATTGTAATTACAAACTTGGTTTTGGGGGAATAAAACTAGGCAAAGCACCAGAAAAAAAGGGGTGTGTGTGATAAATAGCTTGCCACAATCATAATGATTCAGTATGCTGAAAAAGAGGGTAACACAAAAGATTACACTCTTTGGTTGAGGGGAGGTTTGATACCATATGCTGGAAAGGAACATGGCTACCATGCCGCTAGCACTGGTCCCCTTTGAGCAAAACACAAGCCAGGAAGCCTTTGTTTACTGCAATTTGTGGAAATTCTGGTTTTTCAAATCCGAAATAATGCACAGAAGCTGCATCTAAGCAGGAGCACATTTTAAACAAAACCCAAGACATAGAACTGAGCCACCAGTGCTCCTTAGAATACTGTTAATTATATTAATTTGGATGGTGCCCCTTTCTGTCATTTGCTGATAAGTTCAGGAAACTACAGACAAAAG